CCATGTTTTCCTGTGCTCTGTAACATCTTTATCATGCCTGATTTCTCCTGGGTTCATATTATTCATTGATAATTTGGCCACATGGATTATGATGTCAAAAATGACAAAAGAATCAATTCCTGAATCCAGAGATATGAAAGGGGAGGTTGATTATTAGTAGTTCATTCACCTTCAGACATCGACCACGTGCCTCCTACACGCCAGCACCTGCTATGTGTTACTGCGCGTCTGTGCAGGCCGCCTCGTCTAGGGAGGGACTCTCACTCTCTGGCTCCCTTACACCTGATGCAGCCTTGGAAGGTAGATGGTCACATTCCTGTCGTGCCCTCACAGAGAGTTCCAGTCCGCCCAAAGCGTCACCTTGGGCTTTGCTCTCTGGTCCTTCACGCCCACTGTCCCCTGCCCTTCTGCAGTTGTCCACACTGCCCAGTGAACAGAAGGCATCATCTGGTCCTGGGCAGAGAGGACCTCGCCTGGGGCACCTGCCACCCAGTCTGGTCTGGGCTGCCTCCTGCCACTCTCTGCCCTGCCCTCTCTGTCCCACACCAGTTGTGTGGCACGTTGTGACCCAGAAGGCAAAACCTTAGCTGGCAAAAGGTATGGGTGGCCTTTGGAGGTGAAGGGGGCCACACCCAGCCTGGGGGTTTGCTCGCAAAGTGTCGATGTTGCTTTTAGGTACTGTGTTTTGCCAGGTGGCCCAGAGCTCTGAGCCTAAACCTGCCTACTGTCTCCGACCGCGGGGTAGGCTGCCCTTCAAATGGCTGTGGTGGCAGCCTCCCTGTGTCCTCCTTAAGGAACATGGGAAGGCTGCCCGCAGTCAGGCCACTTTGATTTTCACCAATCACCTGCTCATCCATGTGTTCACAGATGCCCCCGGACCCTTCAGCCCCTGTGCAGCCTCTTGTCCCCGGCTCAGGCCTGGGATGGTGCCCAGGCTCGCTGCACACCAAGGCCTGGTTATGAGTAGGGCTGGGCCTCAGGTAGAAGGAAGAATCTCCTCCACATGAGGGATACAGTAACTTATTTTTCTTTTAAGACAGAATCTCACTCTGTCACCCTGGATAAAGCACTGTGCCATCATAGCTCCCAGCAACCTCAAACTCTTGGGCTCAGGTGATCCTCTTGCCTCAGCCTCCCATGTAGCCAGGACTACAGGTGCCCACCACAACAACACCTGGTTAGTTTTCTTCTATTTTCAATAGAGACAGGGTCTTGCTTCTGCTCAAGCTGATCTCAAACTCCTGAACTCAAGCAGTCCACCCACCTTGGCCTCCCAGGGTGCTGGGATTGCAGGGTGAGCACTGCAATCTATCATCTGTCCTTTCCCCAAGCATCCAGAGAGCTCCAATTTTCCTCATCCTTTTCAGGAGGAGAAGGTAGTGATGAAGAGGGTCTTAGCTTTCCACTTAAACATCTTGAAAGACAAGTAGTTGAAGATCCTCTCCCATTTGACTTAATGGAGATTTTCTGTCTCCGGACCTCATTTTGCTAAGAGCTTGGAGGGCTCATTTTTTAAGCACTGGGAAGCCCTCTATAGTGGAAAAGTCGGGGAGCAATGCCTCTCAGTGGCGAGCCCCCTGCCGCTTTGTAGGGAGAAGAAGATGTCTTGCTGGTTTAATCTCCCTCAGAATGGCAGGTCCTCCTGCGTCTTGGCCTCCCTTGGCCCTTTCTGCTCCCTCTTCCCCATCACTTGCTCAGGTGAACTCAGGGCCCTTGCAGTCCCCCTGCTGGTGGTGCTGGACTCACTCCCTGCTTGGGTCCTGGCCCCGCCTCTGGCCTCTCCACCTACGAGAATCAATTTAAGAAACGCTTCCATTTGCGGCAGCATGATCTCTCTCTCTTTGAAATCAGGAAAAATTCCAAAGAGATTTAGAGTAGGCAGGCAGAAGAAGGTATTTCCAGCCGTGATCAGCGAGATCAGCGTGGAGGCCACAGGTGCGTGTCACCACTGCTCAGTTCAAGCTCAGCCTTTGGGCCGATCTGGCCGGCTGCCTGCCCCTTCACCCTGCAGCAGTGGGCACAGTGGTAGCCTGAGGCTTCCCCAGGGAGGCGTTTTCATCCCCTTTATCACAGCACTTGGCTTCGTAAGTGGAAGCTCTTAGGAGTGACCCATCCCCGGACCAGCTTTAGAATCCGATGCCCCCTGAGCCTCCCTCCGCAGCATGTGCGTCTCCATCCCCTTGTTAAATCTTGGGAACTTTTCTGTCAGTTAGCTTTTTATTTTTCTTTGGCAGTAAAGCCACAGCTTTGGGAAACTTCCCCTGGAAGGTGATTTGTGAATACCATAAAGACGGTACTAAAAGGAAGGGGTCAGACCCGTATGCTCTTCTCCTGGAGCACATCGGCAAACCCAGAGCTGGACAGACAGGCGTCCAGCCAGGCGAGAGGGAGCAGCTGACCCCGGGCTTCCTTTGCTCTTCCCTCTAGGGCAGTGGTTTTCAACCTTTTGTATCTCATGGCACACTTGAACCCGTAGTTAAACTTCCATGGCACAAATTATGTTGAGAGTAAAAAAGTATATACTTACTGTGCTTTGAATTTCTTTCTGAAATAATTTAATCATTTTTTTTAAAGTCTTCGTGGCACACCTGAGATCCCTACCAAAGCACACTGGCTGATAATCACTGCTTTAGGGACTGCTATCTTTATATTGTTTTTTTTTTTTTCCAGAAATCCCTTATTTTTCATCTTTGTACAAGTTAAGTATCAAGAGCAGCACTAATGATCTCTTGTTGAGGGAACATGCACCCCTAACCCAGACAGTAGATTCACTTGCATTTCCAGGCAAAGGGTATGGATTAATTAATCAGGTTCCCAAAGGGCACTTTCCCGTAGGCCAGCTCCACCTGCCCGTAACACGCTCCTGAGGCTTTCGCCCGGCGCTTCTGCACTGTCTTCACTCTCTGCCCTGAGCAGCCGCTCCTGCTCATCCCCTGGTTTGGCTCCCAGGTTTGCCCTCCCCTGGACCACGGGACCTGTGTGGCCTCACGCTGCGGGCCCAGTATGTCCAGGTTTCTCAGCAGCTGTAGGATTGACATTCTGAGCCAGTGATCCTGTGTTGTACGTCTGTAGTGGGCTGTTCTGTGCATTGTAGGATGGCCCGTGCATCCCCCCACCCTGTCCTTTATCCCCACCTTATCCTGCGCCAAGTCGTGACAATTAAGAAAGGGCTCCCTAGGAGACAAAAACCACCCCTGGGTGAAAATCACTGGTATATGCAAAGGACGAGTCCTGGTGTAGCTGTCACTATCATCACAGCAGTTCCTGCATGGGCGCCGCAGTGCGAGTTGGGTTCTGCTTGTGTGTGTTTAGCGGTCAAATCAAGCACTCACTCCTAATTAACCCCTGGGAAGCACAGCTGCCCTTACTTATTTTTTGAAGAGGTTTTGTCAACATCTGGGAATGGCCTGTGCACGTGGGGTGATATGAATGACAGACTCTGCCTCTGCTGACCTTTGCTTTGAGCGTGGACCCATGGGGTCTGAGAGCGGATGCACTGCTGTCCCTCGCTTGGGTGGCAGAGCCAGAGCAGGATAGGGCTTGTGTCTGGGGGGCTCCACAGAGTGACTTAAAGGGCCTCTTGTCTCCCACCCTACCTTCTGCAGACCCAGCCCCCACTCACGTACCCTCCAGTCATGGTGGGGACAAGTCTCCTTGGGTGAAAAGTGGGAGGTTTTTTAAAGTGAAACATAAGCCCAGAAAGGAAATGTATTCATTACAAAGACCTTTCTTTGAGTTTATGACGTACTTTCCTTCTCGGGGGGGTTCATAGGAACAGGTGTTATTTGACGAAAAGAAGGTGAGAAAAGCATAATAAAACTAGATTCTTGGGCAAACCTTCTAGAAGATAGAGCAAAGGTGAAAAATGGGGGTGAGGAAGCATAGCCCATGAGACTAAACTGGCCTCCCAAACTAAACCGAGCCCTCACCCCGGGCTGGGGTCGATGAGACGCTCCATGCAGCTCACCTCTGTAACAGCCAGGAGGGGGGCAGTTCTTCTCCCCACTTTACAGATGAAACTGGACGGACCACACTTCACACTTTACCAAGAGCTATTCTCTGTCAAAGGCCCAAGAATTCCTGGTTAGGTTATGACTTTTGCTAACTCAAAATTAATTCATGTTGCCCTGTGGTACCACCAGCAAGGATTCTTCACAACCCCGTGAAACATCCAGCTCTCTCCATTTCAGAGTCACCCTGGGACCCCCAGGACATTGATGTGAAGCTTCCTGAATGGCTGGAAAAGTGAGGAGGGCATGGCTCCGAGCAGTGCTGCCCCCACAGCTGTGGTTCCCAGAGTCCCCGCCTCTGCCTGGAGCCACCGCATGCACTGTGAGCCCTGGAGGAGAAGGACGGCCAACACAGCCTCCCCAAGGCACCAGGGCACACCTCCTCCAGCCTGAGACCACCCTGTGTGCCCATCCGCCAGCTCTGTCTAGGTGTGCAGAAGCCCAGCAGGGCCCAGGCAGGAGTCTCCTGACCTTGCCACCACACCTCCCCCATGTGGATTGAAGCTTAATTTAGGTGCTGGGGGTGCTAGTGCTCGCCAGTTGGAAAGCAAAGATAACCCAGCTTTTACTTGATAACAAATATTGTTGCAAAGAACCAGATGTGGGTAATAACCTCACCTTCTTGGTACAGAGGTAACTGCCCACAGTCCCAACTGACACCAGTCCCACCCATTGAAGGCAGAGCTGGGGACTGGCCCAGGCAGCATCTGTGCTCATGGCTGCGCTCACTCCTCCAGACAAAGTGAAATGAAAGAGGCTATCTCCTTGCTGCTAACTTACCGCCGCCCTGCCAGGTCTATTTGATGATTTCCAATGAGTAACTTGCCTGACTTTTGTTGGCTGTGCCTGGCTTCTGAGTCCAGCAGCCCGCAAGTCCTCCGAGATTCTTCCCGCCTGACTAGCCCTGATTCACCCAGCCACGCTCCTCCCCGAGGAGGGCCTCAGAGCGCTGATACCTGCTGACCCTCCCCTGTCTTTTTTCTCCCACAGTGTGGCAAAGGAGCAGAAAACTTTGACAAGTTCTTCACGCGAGGACAACCCGTCTTAACGCCGCCCGATCAGCTGGTCATCGCTAACATAGACCAGTCTGACTTTGAAGGCTTCTCGTACGTCAACCCCCAGTTCGTGCACCCCATCCTTCAGAGCGCAGTATGAAATTTCACCGGCGAGAGAAAACGCACTCCCCCCTCAAGCCCCCAGCCCCCCAGGAGTGGGAAATGATCCTTAAGCCTAAAATTTTCAAGGCCATGGCCTTGTGTCCTGTTGCGCTCGGAGGCCTGAAAATTATAGGGTTATTAGTCCCAATGTGATCAACCTTTCAGGGTCTCTCACAACCAAGAACAATCTCTTAGTGGAAGATGACGTAATGTACAGTGTCCAGTTTAATTATGTAGAAGTCACATCTGGCTGTAGATTATGACCCTCCCTAGAAAGCAGACTGTTGCCCCTTTTTTGGGTACAATTTGATATATTTTCCATACCCTCCGTCTGTGGATTTTCACCATCGGGATTCCCCAGCCAGAGATGTTAAAGTGAACCTGCCCCAGGCCCAGCGGGCTGCAAACATCTCCACCCAAGACATCTCGGAATGAAAGCACGGGGCACCCAGAGAGTGAGCAAGGAAGGAGTGGAGGTAGGTAGGGGAGGCTTCACGACATCCTCTGCATCTGTCCTCTCCCTTGATGGAAACAGTCCCTAGAATCTGAGAGGCCAGGATGGACCTAATCACTGTTCCCAAACACTGACGCATCATCACCCAACCACAGTCCAGTGGTTACCAGTTTAAAAAAAAAAAGGAAAGAGAACCTCAGATGAGTGTTGGGTGAATCTGTCACCTGGTACCCTGCTTGGTTGGTACTTGCATTCTTTTTAAGAGGCCAAATCATGTAAGGACTCTGCTAAATGAGCATGTGAAACCATTTCAGATAAGGATAAACCATTGTGTGTGTGTACGTTCCTTTTAATCTCTGGGAGATTATTCTTCGATCCAGGGTGCCATCAGTCAATCATGCCACTATTCACAAGTGTCGTTAGCCAACCTCCACCCTCCCACTAACATTGTGCTCCCTGTGTTGCTACCCTCCCCTGAGAAACTGAAGTGTACGCCCCATCCCCTTTTGTACTTATTTATTAATAGGCCGCAGTGTCGTTGAGGTACGGTGTACAGTAACATAAGCAGTGCGTTGACTGAGCATCAGTCCTACTGATTGGCTTTCTTCCCTTCTCCAGCCCTTCACGTCCACTTAGGGATGAAAAATGAGTGAGGTTGGGGTTCCCACCCCCGTTGAGTGACACCCCTGGACCTATAGAATCAGGACACCTGGACGCAGAGCAGCTCTAGGACGTTTTATCACTAGAAAGATTTTAATGTTTTGCAGATGCATCATGCAATGAATTTTGCATGTTTATAATAAACCTTAATAACAAGTGAATCTATATTATTGATATAATCGTTTCAAGTGTAAAGAGAGTATTACAATAATTTTATAAGACACAACTGTGCTATATTTGTGAAAGTCCTCCTTTCTAATCTGCTTTTACGATTAAGTTTTAGCTGAATTCTTTACTGCTGTGCTTCCTCGCTCCCCCTCCCCTGTACCTGGGCACTGTCCCAGAGATATTAATTTGTTCATATGGATCTAATTTCAGAAATGAATGGCTACTTTACCTGGTCAATTAGGCTTTTACTATAAATGTATGTGTATATATTTATATATATATATTTGATTGTAGCCGCAAACAAAAGTTTTGTGGGGTTATTTTCGGGATGAGACTCTTAGCTTCTCAATGTTATCTTCCATTTGGGGTCCTCTGCCACTCTTCCTCTTGGGGACAATGGGACGTGTCACCTCCAGTGTGCCCGGTATGTTGGTGCAAGTGTGGCATCGTCACAGCCTCGCGCTGAACTTTTTGTGTTTGTTTGCTGTGCTCTTCCCTTCAGCCATGTGACCACTGGGGAGTCTGGGTGGGAGGGATGGGAGACTCCCTGCTGGCCATGTGTTCCTGGTCACACCAGGGGCGAGCTGTCTGCCCTGCCGCCCCGTGTTTGCGCCAGCACACACAGACTCCAGGAGACCAAGCTTGGTCCAGCCCCAAGCACGGCCACGCCCTGTGGGTACCAGCAGCCGCTTTCCAGGGGCTGCAGATCCCCTCCCAGTCTCTAAGGAGCACTTCTTTGGCGAGATACCCTTCAGTGCGAGGTGCCCAGAGGGGCCAGGCTTCTAAAACAAAAAGACAAAGTCAGAATTGGAGTAGTTATCAGTCCTGGCAGAGAGCTGCTCTGTTTCCTCCCCCGAGCTGCTTCCTCTGGCTCTTTGCCTGAAGTTCAGGTAACACAACCACTGAAGGGTCTTGGAAGTGAGAGGCCTGGGTGCTGGAGACCTGTGTGGAGGAAGCGAGGGAGCAGGGTCTAGTCCTGACCAGAAAAGAGCAGTTTCTTCTGCCATCTTTTAGGGACCTTAGACATCTGAATTCAAAGGGGCCCGGCTTTGTCCCTACAGTCCTGCCAGTCAGCACACGTTCTGGGGAGCACATCCTGACCAGGTGCTCCTTGTTTGGCCCTGTGGGAAAGTGGCTTATAAAAGAGCCTAGAAGACAAAAGGGTCAGGCCCCCTGCCCCAGCCTGGAACAGCAGCAGGACTG